CTTTAAGAAAGAATGTTTTCAGGAGGTGCTATTGTTAGCTTTGCCACTTTCTGATAGAGTGACTATGGGCAAATTGCTAAGACTCCCTGAGCCTCTGGTCAGCCTCATCTGGAAAATGAGGATAATGACTCACCACACAAAGTTACTGTGGGGCTTCACTGAGACCAGGTCACCATGTTAATGATGCAGTCTCTGTTGGTTCCTCTTGTGTAAAATGAGGGGACTGTGAAATGGGTCTTTAAATTCCCATCCCTTATGAATATGCAGTGTTGAATGAAATTGTATTGATCTTGGAGAAGATCTAACTCAAAAAGATGTTTCTGAGCCATGAACATTTTCTGGAATGATTTATCAGACTGGCGTGATGGAGACGGAGGAGAGCTGTGCAGTGGGGCAGATGGCTCAGGCCCGAGGACCTAGGCCTTCCCAGCTCGTTCTGCCTCTTGGTTCTAAGACCCAGGGAGTTGGCTTCGTCATCATCTCAGCCTCAGTTTACCTGTTCCTAAGATGAGGCTGAAATACCTCCCTCGCAAAAGATAGGATTCATGAGGTAGTGTGTGTGAATCTCTTTATGGACAACGGAATAACATCCATATCTGGAAAATGGGCTTAGTAAGAACTCCCTTGGAGTGCCATCAGAAAAACAAATGAGGCCATGTGTATAAATAGATTAACACAATTCCTGGAGTATCTAGAAGCTTCAGAGAATGAGAAAGCACTAATTAATAGTCAAGCCTAACACAGTGAAGTAGAATGTTAAGAACTGGCACTCAGAGCCCTGTAAACTGCTCCCAGAGGTAGGCAGGGGCCTGGCGCGGAAGCACAACCCTTCTTGCATGATGCTGGATGTAAGTGCCTGCTTCTGCCAGTTCCACGGCAAGGTGTCACCTGTCCAAGGAACAGAGTTAACGAAGGCTCTGGCTGCAGCTAAATGAGCCTCACATTGGCCCATTAATCGCTTTCCACTTTGAAAATGGCCACCTTCAATCCTTCTCTGTGGAGTTGATGATCACATACAGAGGCTGCCAGTGGATAGACACCTGATGAAGATGGACTGAAAGAGGTCCTGCTGGTCTACCCCAGAGCCCATCTAGTCTGTTCCATACAAATCCAACGGCAAGTTTCCTGAGTTTAGTTCCATTCAAAGAGCATCTTTTTCGTGCTCCTGCAACATGCCACGCACTGTGCTGGGAATCGAGGAGTCAGAGATGAAGATGGCGCGGTCCCTGCCCCTGAGCTCAGGGACCTGTAGGACAGAGACACGAGGATGAAGCACTTCCTATGGCAAATGGCAAGTGCCGTGATGGAGGAACTCATAGAATGCTATGGGAGCACAGAGGAGACGTGGGGTGGTGTCAGGAAGCCACCTCGGAGGAAGGGATGCCTGAGTGGAAATGTGAAGGATGAATTAACATAGCCTGGTAAAGTCAGAGCAAAGGGAAAGGAAGGTAGAAAGGTGACCTGGGCAGATGGACCACCTTAAACACAGGCATGGAAGCAATTCGGAGCAGGTTGGGGCTCCCAGGGAACTGCAGCAGAGAGGCAGCAGTGGCAAATGTCACCTCGAGGCAGGCAGGTGGCCACAGATAATCTAGAGCAGAGAGAACCCACTTGACACCTCCCCCACATGCATCTCAGCAAGTCTCCTGGCCTGGTCACAGCATGTGCCACCTACATAGTCACTGACTGATGATTAAGGGGGTGGGGTAGGGAGAGGCATGGGCAAGGCTCCTACCCCCTCCTCCCCCTCCAGCTTTCTTACACGTGAAATCCCTTCCTAGATGGCTGCCACGGCCTTTCCAGGAGGCCCAGCTCCTAGAAATGTCACACGTTGGCCAGGTCTAGAGTACTTACCAGGTCAGCTGCAACAGAATTTAGCAGGTACCAGGACATTGAGAGAAGGCAAAAACAACAGGAGCAGTCCACACGTGTCCTGAGCTTTCCTCTCCAGCAAGGGGCCCTATCCATTGCAGGCTCAGGATAAAGAGGGGGCATGCATCTTGCTGAAGCTGCAAAGCCTTCCCAGGACTGACAGTTCACTTTTCTCCTGCCTCTTTGGCTTGCCCCGTGAAGGCCTGAACCAACCCAAAGCACCCCTGTGAGCACCACAGGGGATTGTTCTAAGTTGCTGTGAGTTAGCCCCCGAAGCGGGCTGAACCCTCGGATGTGCTTCAACATCAGACCAAGCCAAGAGGAATTCCACAATAAACACAAGCCTAGAAAGCAGGTGGCGGCTGACATGGGGGGATGATCAGGAAGGCGGCAGCTAAGCAGGTGGCACTGGAAACAGCTGGCTGGCTAAACACAGCAAAAAAAAAAGTTGCAGTTTGTTGGGAGGTTGCTTTTTGTTTTGGGCTTTTTTGTTTTGTTTTGGTCAATTTTAAAGAACAAACATTGGCAATGTTCCCCTGCTCTATACAACCAACAGATTTCTCAGGCAACTCGCACCAGGGAGAAAACAGCCTGGAGTCTGAGGTGGTCCTTAAATGTTGCCTCAAGTTTGATTCCTCATCTGTGTTGTTAATAGCCAAGTGATTCGTTTTGTGGGGTAGCTTCCCCAGGCTCCCTTGGGCTGGAGTATTTATCATGGCAGCAGCTGGAGATAAGCTGGACACAAAGAGGATTTGTGTCTCAGGAGAGCTGGTCCCTAGATACGGAAAGTGGAGGAATTTTCTCATTAGGAGGAAGTCAGTGGTGGGGACTCTGGGCTTTCATCCTGTGCCCCCAGTACAAACAGTAGCAGGGAGGGGGCGTCCTGGAGGGGAGATGTACTCGAAGATGCTTTCACTGGACAACTTAAAGCTTCTAGAGTGGATTTCCTTGGGAGAGACGAAAGGTATTAAATGCCATGTGCATTGATGAAGCTTTTGAAGGGGGAGGTAGGAGTCTCTCTACAAGAGCTATATAGACTTAATTACTTGTTCCCACTCACAGAGGGGCCACAGTGGGAGGCTCCAGACTGCATGTCCCAAACCCAAGCGGCGAACTGGGCGACTGAAGCCCAGGGCATTCTGAGGGCCAAAATCTCACAGAAGCCATCACTGAGTTTGCCACCACAGCTAGGCTGGCCTGAGAAACCACAGTGTGGGGAGGGGAGCAGAGAGAGGACAGAGAGTCCAAGCACAGAGTTCTATAACACTACCAGAATTCACTGACCTCAAAGGGATTGTGAAATCTGGGAGTAGATTAAACTGGCCCAGCAGGAATTTTCTGAGATTAGGGTAGCATCTGAGTACATTCCGGGGTCAGCTAATTTCATTAAGTCTGAATATCAGCTGGGGTTCCCGCCAGCATAGGCATAGACGAAAGGCATGAAGTGGATTTTCCGGTGGCCTGTGTGTTTCCTTCAGCAACTACTACTAGCAGATTTAGTCCAGAGGACACGAGCACTGTCTCGGCTGAAACTGATTGCCTCACCTGAGCCCTGCTTTGTTGATTCCACTGCACTTTCATACCCTGATCACATACCCTGTTCGCATAGCACCTGGGAGGGCAGGTTTGATGGCGTTCTCATCCATTCAGAATGGAGAAAGAGGACCACATGCCACTTTTCCACCTATGTCAACACTGTGCCCTAGACAGCCCTTAGTGCATGGCAGATAGGGGCTTAGATATAGTGCCTCAATAAATGCATCTTTGTCCCCCAGATTCTAGAACTGTGGCTCAGCATAGAGCACAGCATTAAAAAAGACGACATATGCACTTCTGTTTCTACACTTAAAATTTCCTCAAAAATTTTTTTTACACTAGAACTGTGTATACTTGATCTTAGATTAAAATAATGACTTTGCATAATAATGGGAGAGAAAGGCATATTAAAAGCACATTTCACACCTGAACGACTGCAGAAACAGCTCTGAAGCCATTCAGTGAAGAGGTTGTCTGTAAAGTCACCGCAGCATACTCATAAAGAAAAAAGTTGCTATTTTAAGTATTTTTCAATGCTTTTTCCCATGCGTGGAACGTGGTGGTTTTTGTGTTTTTCCTGCTTTCCCTGGACAATCACGACACACCCCACTCCAGAGACAGCGAGCAACCTTTGAGAGCCCAGCTGTTCTCTTCTTGCCCCTCCTCTGAGAAACAAGGTGTGGGAGTAGAACCAGATGCAGAAAACATTAGGGACTTAGCCTCATGCCTGAGACGCCTCTGACACGGAGCCAGGGAGTCCTTGCAGGCGTAACTGTGGAATCCAACCCCAGGCACAGTCACAGCTGAGCATGAGGGCTGTGCAGAAACGTCCCATGTTTCCCTTTGGAAATGTGCATGGCCTCTGTGAACCAAGCCCCTCTTTCCCTTCCTGTTTCTTCCCCTCTTCCTTTTTAAGGAGGATAAAGGCCTGGCCAATTCTCAGCTGTGTGGGTCCTCTGGGTCCTTGAATCTGTCACTGGCCTAGGGGCAGCAATGAGGCAAAAGGACTCCAGGCCAGCTCTTCTCTGAGCCACCTCTGAGCATCAAGAATGTCCCTGTCCAGGGCGGCCCTTGAGGGCAATTTCCCAGGAAGTACTAAGTCCAAATCACTGATATTTATGGATGACTCTCTTTGAGAAGCGGATAGCTCTGGTCCCTCTCTGGAAGAAGGTGCCCACACGAATGCAAAGCTCCACCTTTTTCTTGGTGAAAGAGGGCTGTGGACCCAGGTAAAGAATGAGTGGGCTAGAGGATGATCTGATGGCCATGTCCACTTCCTTCCAAGGAGGGTCCTTCCTGTGCACATCATGATGGTGCTCCTGAAACAGCAATAGGTCAGGTTGGCAGAGGTTCTCTCTCACAGTGGCCAGTTAGGGAAGCCAAGGATGGCACATCCTCAGAAGTCATTTCCCCATGAAGGATTCAGGCTGGAGGTGTCGGTAGTGCTCATCTTCCTCACAGTTCTACCTCCCTCATTTCTCACTCTTCCAGGCTTGCAAAGGAAAATGCCAATGTCCACCACCCAGCAAGTCAGCCTCGAAGAAACCAACCACTCCCATCAGTCAGGAGAAAAAACAGACAAAGCCAGCAAACCAAACCAAGTCATTTTATTGTGCAATTTCCTTCTACCAGATAATTCTAAAAATATAAATATTAACTCTCTAAAAAATACTCAGAATAGATCTGTAATCTTCCTCCTCCAAACTGGAGCCAATCTTCTTTAAAAGCTGATGGAATGCATACATGTGTCTTCCATATCAGCCACATACACAGCATTCAGATACACTTCCCTCTGTGCAGGGGGATATACCAGCCTCCTGCCAGGTTCTGGAAGCTCACCTTATAATCTACCAGGATAAAGCTGTGTGCTGAGCAGGAGGTTATGGTGGGGCTGAGGAGTAACAAGGAGATAAAAGATCCTGTGGTCCTGACTTCCTTATGTGAACACAGAAGACAGATCCTTTACTCCTCCTCATTACTCTGCCCTCTCATGGACTGGGCCAATGGAAGGCCAAGCTCCCAGAGAAGCTGGACTCACTGTCTGGGATTAGTGGGGGCATGGCTGCCAGGCTTCAGTCACAGGAAGGCCAGACTGTTGAGATGGATGTGGAAACCAGGTGAGGCTTTGGATGGAAGACCTGGTCTGAGCCAAGCCCTCTGCGGAATGAGTAGTAGCTACTCATCCTGCTGAGCTTTGGGGAGCCCCTAGCCCCTAGCATCAGGTACCATCTTCAGCATCTAAGACCAGAAACCCAGTCTCAGAGAGCCTCTCAAGGTGGCAGCATCACTTCTGCAGCAGGGGGATGGGGGGGTTGTAGGCAGTTAGATTGGAGCAGGGTCCCGTGGAACCGTATTCAGTATCAGACACAAGTCTGAAGAACCCTGGGGTCACCCTGGCAATAGTCCTGGACATCCTGGTGGGATCCTTTTGTTCATCCTGGGTCTAAGAGTCTGGACTTCAGCAGCAGCTGGGCTTTAAAGTGGAGGCAGGGTGCTTAAGAAAGGCTGCACCTGCAATCCCTGAACCCATGGCTGCCATATCACTGGGCCAGAGCCACCCTGGGCTCTAGAAGAGAAGCCCCAGAGAGCAGGGGCTTGCTAAGTTTCCCATCAAAGCACAAACCATGCTCCTGGTATGGGAAGCTCAGATGAAGTGGCTTGCTTCCAGGATGTGTTTAGGGACTCCATCCCCATCCTCAGCTCTGGTGTTTCATGTGATACCCCCAAACCATTCTGGGAAAATCACAGGATCCCGAATGCTAGTCCTGAGACCTTCTCTGACTTCAGGGTCAGATATTGCATCCTTGGAGAAAGAATGTATACATAAGCCCTGCTTACTCCACCAGGGCCTGCAGGTGCCCCGCTGCAGGGACCCTCATGAGGGAGCAGAGACAGCTTGTGGTGAGCACGTGGTGAAATCTGGCTTTCTGGGAGAAGGAAGGCAATGGAAGGCAAGTGGTGGGGTCTGTGGCAAGGCCACACAGATGCAGAAGCAAGAATGCAGGAAGACACCCACATCCTAGCAATCCTGCTGAGGCTCCTAGTTCTGTAGGAGTTAGTGTGGGCATTTTATATGGCAGTGGTGGTGGGAAGGGGAGTGGAAGCTTGGAGGTGAGAACAGCTTGGAAGCAAGCCCTGGGTGTCCCAGAGCTTATGGGTGGGAAGCCAAACAATGTATGGAACAGGAGAGGCCACAGGAATCCCAGGAGGAGGATGCCATACCGCCTGCCCTGGCTGGATATGCCATTCCCAGCCTTCTCCCAGGGAACCAGCCACCTTGTTCAAGAAAAGGGATGCAAAGACCGCTGGGATTGGGATCACCCCCTTACAGGGTCTGCTGGCCATGGGAAGACAGCACAATAGGACCCCTGGTGGGAGACAGGAACACAAAAGTGGATTAATCCAGGAGGGCAGGAACCAGTTAAGGTTGGATGAACCTGGTCAGTCCCTTACATGGATCCTGAAAGCAGGAAAAAGCCCACTAGCATCAGCATAAAAGAAAGGCAGGGAAGGGCAGGCAGGGAAGGGCAGGCAGGGAAGGGCAGGCTGGGGCCGCTCCTGTGAGGTCCAGGGCTGCAGGAGGCCCAGGCAACTTCAGCACAAGCACAAAGCACTTCCACTTAATTGAAAGTGGTCCCCCCCGACCCCCTGAGTTCTCACATGCCAATTTCGCATGTGCTTCACTCTGGCTCTCACAGCAGGCCCAGGCCCTGAAACGGCATCATTTGAGGTTTCAAGGTAGCCCCTGAAAAGCTGTTCTGATCCCTGGTGATGGCTCTTCTCTGTCCCGTCTCCACTCCCTTCTCCCTGCTTCTGCTCTGGGTTTTTAGCACCAGCCCTGAATGCCAAAACCACCCCACAAAACAAAATCAGAGTGTGCTCGGCTGCATCTGCTGAGGCCTGGCTCTCCCTGTCTTCACACACACAGCAAGGGAAGCCTGATCTTTCCTTCCATGAAGAATGCCTACATTTTGTATTCAACATCTGACCAGATGGGGGAAAATCTTGGGAACCCTTGGTGGCAGGGTTCAAGCCTTGGGTGAACTCTCAAGTTCTCAGGCCTGGTAAGCATCTCATCTGGCCTCCATCCCAGGGGCAGAGCAAACATGGCAACCAGGGGCCTGCACTCTCTTGAGACCAAGAGGAGCCATGTCTAGGCTGTGGTCTGGGTGTGTGGCTTTCTAGGCCAGGGCCCATCATCAAGCCAGACCCATCATTCCTCACCCAGCCTTGCTCCCACTGAGGCCAGGGGCCTTGGACCCGCCAAGGAGGAGAGAGAAGGGACTGGGGTGTGGGAAGGAGAACAGCAGGGGAGGAGGTGCATGTAGGGGACAGGCAAAGAGAATTCCTGCAAGATCCATCGTACTGGGCTGGTGGCCCTGAAATTCACTGAGAAGCCAGGAGAAAGAGTGGAGAAGCTCCATGTCCAATGGCCGCAGCCCATCCAGAGGAGGTTGCAGAAAACTAGGCTCAAGATGACATCGAGTCCTTTAGCCATTCTGCAGATAGACTTTTTAACTAGTACTACTCAAGGACTTCCAGCCCTGCAAAATCCCATGGTGGAGGACTGGCTCTCTGCCGGTGCCTCATACAAGGAAGACGAAGGGCACAGCGGAGCTGGGGCTAGGGCCAGTGTGCACAGTGGAGAAAACAACGGGAAGACAAGGGCGGTGCTTGGCAGGAAAGAGTAGAGGCTCTATTCGAAGGACAGCAGGTCTGGGTGAGGGCCTTCATTGTCGAGGCTGAAGGTCCGTGCCTGAGGAGCGGGGCTGCCCTCCTCCCAGGACTCAGCCAGGCTGATGGGGCTCAAGCTGAGTTTGAGGCCATTCCTCTCGATGAGGCTGGGGGAAGAGGCCCTTCTGCACTCAGTCATCTTTAGCTTGGATTCATCCTGGCTATCCTTGTGGATGAGATCTGGTACTGACAGGGACACCTCTCCATTGGGCAGAACTTCGCCTCTCTCTTCTCTTTCCATGGTGGCCTCTGACTGTGAAGCATCTGCTGGGACGTCAGGCAGGGCAGTGGGAGTGGAGTCCTGGGCCTGCCCAGGTGATGACTCTGTCCCATACTCCAGACTGCTGAGGACAGGCTGTGATGAAATCAGCATGTCCTGGGTGGTCTTCAGAGCCCGAGGGGTTCGCTTTCTGGTTATGGGAGGTGGAGGATCCAGTCGAGGAAATGCTTCTTGCAGGACTGACCTGTAAGGTTAATGACAATATAAACACTTAAGGATGACAAGCCACCAATCCACTTTCCTTCCTCTTCTCCAACTGCAACTGCACTTTCCAACCCACCCCCACTAACGAGTGCTCTACTCCTTGGGTCTAGTGCTTGGTTTGGCATGCAGGTTTTAGCAACTTCAGCACAACAGCAGCTTTTGGCCTGGTCCATGCTCACTCAGCGTTCAGAGCAACACAAAATACTGGCCTCTGGAAGACAGGATAAAGACCACTGGTGAACTTTGTCAAATCAGAACCCACGCAATAAGGCCTGCGGAGGGCATTCCTGCCTCAGATGCACAGGTGTTTAAAACAAGGCCTGGAAATGGTCTGTTGGTAGAAGGGGGAAGAACAGGAGGGCTGCTACAGGGGCCTTCTCCTGTCCTGCCCCTGTGGGCTCTGACAGGCTCAGGCTTCTCCACAAGCAACAGTCTAGGGCAGCAGTTCTCGGCTATGGCTGGGCATCAGAATCTACCTGGAGAACTTCTGGGCAATACTTGGGTTCAAATCCAGCTCTGCCAAGTACTAACTTTGGGACCTCAAGCTATTTACTTTACCTCTCTGCAAATGAGTTGTCTGCAGGATGGAAATATCACGTACCTCCCAGGGCTGCTGGGAGGACTAGAAAAAATGATGCAACCAAAGCATGTAGCACAGGGCTGAGGACGTGGGGGGCACTCAGCAACCTTCAGTAGCACAGGGCTGAGGACGTGGTGGGCACTCAGCAACCTTCAGTACAGGGCTGAGGACGTGGTGGGCACTCAGCAACCTTCAGTAGCACAGGGCTGAGGACGTGGTGGGCACTCAGCAACCTTCAGTACAGGGCTGAGGACGTGGTGGGCACTCAGCAACCTTCAGTACAGGGCTGAGGACGTGGTGGGCACTCAGCAACCTTCAGTACAGGGCTGAGGACGTGGTGGGCACTCAGCAACCTTCAGTAGCACAGGGCTGAGGACGTGGTGGGCACTCAGCAACCTTCAGTACAGGGCTGAGGACGTGGTGGGCACTCAGCAACCTTCAGTACAGGGCTGAGGACGTGGTGGGCACTCAGCAACCTTCAGTACAGGGCTGAGGACGTGGTGAGTACTCAGCAACCTTCAGTAGCACAGGGCTGAGGACGTGGTGGGCACTCAGCAACCTTCAGTACAGGGCTGAGGACGTGGTGGGCACTCAGCAACCTTCAGTACAGGGCTGAGGACGTGGTGGGCACTCAGCAACCTTCAGTAGCACAGAGCTGAGGACATGGTGGGCACTCAGCAACCTTCAGTACAGAGCTGAGGACGTGGTGGGCACTCAGCAACCTTCAGTAGCACAGGGCTGAGGACGTGGTGGGCACTCAGCAACCTTCAGTACAGGGCTGAGGACGTGGTGGGCACTCAGCAACCTTCAGTACAGGGCTGAGGACGTGGTGGGCACTCAGCAACCTTCAGTACAGGGCTGAGGACGTGGTGGGCACTCAGCAACCTTCAGTAGCACAGAGCTGAGGACATGGTGGGCACTCAGCAACCTTCAGTACAGGGCTGAGGACATGGTGGGCACTCAGCAACCTTCAGTAGCACAGAGCTGAGGACATGGTGGGCACTCAGTAACCTTCAGCTGCACAGAGCTGAGGACATGGTGGGCACTCAGCAACCTTCAGTACAGGGCTGAGGATGTGGTGGGCACTCAGTAACCTTCAACAGCACAGAGCTGAGGACATGGTGGGCACTCAGCAACCTTCAGTACAGGGCTGAGGATGTGGTGGGCACTCAGTAACCTTCAACAGCACAGAGCTGAGGACATGGTGGGTACTCAGCAACCTTCAGCTGTGGCTGTGGAAGGTGAAGTCAGCTCCCAAGTGTGGCCTGATCCTGCAGCTTTTCTGTACGGGACAATCTCACAACTCTTCCTCAGGGCTGTTGTCCTGTGGAGACACTGCAGTTTGTCCCTGCACCTTTTCAGTTGGGTCCACAGAGGGGCATGGGTATTGGGCGGGTGAGGGGTTTACCTTTCCTCCTCCAGCCAGGCACCTGGAGCCGCATCAGCCCCACTGGCCAGCTGTGCTCCTGCGGTCTTGTTGATCTCCGTCACACCCACACTGCCCAGGCTGGAGGGCTCCTTTCTCCGCAGGAAGTCATTCACTTTGGCCCCCATGGCTTTGCCCAGGTTCTTGAGGTGCTGGCTGCTGCCCACCCAGAGTCCCGCCCCCCCAGGCTCAGCAGAGCCCAGAGGGGCAGAGCTGGGGGCCACGGGCTTGGACAAGTGGGGGAAGGAGCGGCTGGCCTGGAGCTTTGGAGTGAGGGCTGTGTTCAGATTCTCAAACATGCCATGGTCAACTATGAACAAAGAGGGGACAGACAGACAGAATGAGGAAAGGGGAGCAGGACCTGTGCCCTATCATTCAGCTTTCCTTACGCCACACCCAAAACTTAGAACCTTCCAGGCTTTGGAAACATTCAAGAAAGAGCCAGCAAAGACACTCTTGAACTTTCCACTGCAGTTTTCTTGATGGCAGAGGAATTAGAAATTCTAGCTCTGCCCCATCCACGTTAATCAGGGACTAATCCTAGCCACAAAAAAATAAAATTATTCCTTTAAACCTGCCTCCTTGACTCATGGCTTGCCCGCTTTACCTTGGAATCACCAGGCCCTTTGAAGTAAAGAAAAAATGAGGATGAAGCAAAGAAACATGACATTTTTATATCGCCCTGGGCACGTGCTGAGCTCTCAGAGGGTTGGAAGCTGGTGGAGGGATGGCATGGATGAGGCTTGGTGTTAGACGCTCCCCATTGAAGGACAGAGGGGTATGGGTATTGGGCATACAGCACATATTCTCCATGAAAAATGGGGCAGCCCCTCCTCAGGTCTGCAGAGGTAGGACTTGAGCGAGTGGGCCAGCTCTCGCAGAGATGCTAAGTGGTGGTTCAGAATCAGTTCCTACCAAATGGATAGGTGCTCGGTGCCAGTGAAGCTTGAGGATCCTAGTGAACATCAGCTCACTGAATCCTTACAACCGCCTAGGGAGGTGGTGCATGGAAGGATACCTACCTATAGATGAAGCAAGCGGGACTCCACGTAATACAGTGCTGTGCCTGAGGTCACACAGCTAAATAGCAGCAGGGCTGGAACTAGAACTCGGGCCTTCTAACCCACAGCTCAGGGCTCTGTCTACAACTCCGCCCTGCTTTGAATCATGGAAAGCTGCCTATATATGTCTGGTACATGGTCCTTCATGTAGGGGTCCTCTTTGGCTTGAAACTGAACTCAAAGAGCTGGGTATAAACCCATTAGGTCATAAAGATTTGCAAGGAGGCCATGCCTCATTCATCTTTGTATCTTCAATGCCCAGCCTGGGTTTGGCACATAGCTGGTGCTCAATACAGATCTTGAATCGCCAACACCCATTTTGTAGATAGAAAACTGTGGTGGGCAAGATAGTAGCTCCAAAGTTTGTTACTGAAATGACTGGAGCTCCAGGCTCTAAGCCATGCTGTCCACACACTCACACTTGGGCATCCTCTCCCTATCTGGAAATCCAGCTTAGTCATCAGGCAGCCAGACCTACTCTGAGGCCTTGGGACCTGGATCAAGGTTTCTGTCTATAACAACTACCCCAGATAAGTTGTCAGTCTGAGGGAAGACGATTACTGGACCATTTGATCACTAGGCTCCTCTCCTTGTCAACACCTCTGCTAAGTGTCTATTCTCACTGAGCCTCTTCTAAGAGTAACTGGGGTTAGGGTACAGTTTTTCTTCTGTTGAATTGTTATGTAAAGCAATTCTCTCTGCCCTACACTGCTGCATCCTGGGCCGGTAGCAACCTTTTTTGTGGTTTCAGTGGCGCTATCCTTGCTAGGCCAACTACCTAGATATGCCATATTCTAAGGGCCTTTGGGTGGCAGGGAGGAAAAGCTGTGGGAAGAGGAGTGGAGACTGCTCTCTGCAGATGAGTCCTGCGATCTTCACCACTGCAAGGTGAGGTCAGGCCAGGGAACACTATGACAGCATCCCTTGGACATAGGACCTGAGCTGGCTGGGCTCCAGATGGACCCGCCACTCTAGCAGAAGCTTCCAGCCCGCTCCACAGCAAGCAGGGTCAACTCCTCATGATTCTCCTAAGTGCATATCTTGCCACATCATCCAATTTGGCACAATTTGCCTGTCAGGTCCCACATTGTTCTTATTTTCTTTAATCATGTCATCGCAAACTAGCAAAGAAGATTTGGAAACCAAACCATTTAACTATAATCCCCCAAACCAGAAAGTACATAGACTATAATGTAACCATACAAAATGCTTGGGGAAGGCAAATTGCCACCACTTCCCAAATCAGACATTTCCTTGCTGGCTTCCTTACTGGTTTAAAGTGAATTTTCGCAGCAGACCTATTTGGTTTTAAAAAGGCAAGCACCAAAAACGCCTGCCAAGGTGATTCCTAAATTATGAGCTATTATTTTTAAAAGACTCTTAGTAGGCCAGGCGCAGTGGCTCAAGCCTGTAATCCCAGCACTTTGGGAGGCCGAGGCGGGTAGATTATGAGGTCAACAGATCGAGACCATCCTGGTCAACATGGTGAAACTCTGTCTCTACTAAAAATACAAAAAATTAGCTGGGCATGGTGGCGTGTGCCTGTAATCCCAGCTACTCAGGAGGCTGAGGCAGGAGAGTTGCCTGAACCCAGGAGGCGGAGGTTGCGCTGAGCCGAAATGGCGCCATTGCACTCCAGCCTGGGTAACAAGAGCGAAACTCCATCTCAAAAAAAAAAAAAAGAAAAAAAAGACTCTTAGTAATAAACATAACTCTGGATTATCCACCATTTTGGATTTCCTGCATTTTTTGCTCTCTATCCTTCATAACATACTCCATAAAATGCACTGAGTTCTCAAGTAATTGAAATATAACCTATCATGCACTTCACACTTGTCTAAATCTTTCCAGTAAATACACCCAGTCTTAAAATGATAGGCTCCTTGAGAGGCCATAGCATCTGAAGTGTTTCTTCATCTTCCACAATGCCTAGCTTAGGGTCTTGCATGTAGAGCCTTTAATAGCCATTTAATAAGTTTGTTCAACTAAATCTGACTTTTCTATGAATTCTTAAAACGTGCATGATGGGCTGGCATTGTAGGGAAACTGCTCACAAGTCTTTCTCCATTTATAAAAGCCACTCAAAACCCCCTCTATGGGAGTGGTCTTCAGGGGCTCTTGAGGTTAGACCAGGAGAACTGCCCTTCTATTCAAAGTGGAAGTGGGGCTCTGGCTGGAGGTCACTTTATCCCCACGTCTGAGGATGTACAATGGGTCCCTTTCTTGATGATGGCTCTAATGATCCCCACACATTGTCCCTCTTGCCCTAGGACTAGACGCTTGGTGGTTCAGAAAATAATGGCAATGAAGGAGAGAGAGATGACTGCATCCCAGCCAGGTGACCCTCCCAACAGCACCCCCCGCCAACATGCATACAACTCAAGCAGAGGAGGGCATCTGGAGATGTAAGTCATCCACAACAAACAGGATATCTTACCTGTCCGAGAAAGGAGCTCGGAAAGCAGGTGGGAAACAAACAAGAGAAAGACACATTTTACGTAGTGACCAATCGCTTTGAGAGTGTCACCTCCTGCCTGGGCCACCAGCAGCAGCATACCTCAGGAGGACACAGCACGCAAGACAAGGGCCCTGCTGTGAGGAGTGGTGCACACCCTGAACCACCAGGATCCCACAAGCTTATCAGTGACTAAACAAAAACAGGGTCATATTTTAAAACTCTACACAGGCACTGAGAGATTCCGCCCCCTATATTCCCCGTCAGTATTTTGAGCCCCCTTTACATTAGATCTGAGCTTCCAGTGGGAGAGTCTGAAGTTGGCAGTGGGAGAAATGTGATGGGTTAAGACAGAATGCAGTTCCAAGTCCTGGGGGTCCTGTGTGTGCCACTCACAAGGATGCTACTGTCCACATGTAAATCAGCGGGCTTTAGCCAGGAAGACTTGCACCCACTCCAATTTAGTCTAAAGTAATAATATGGGAAAACCAAGTGGCAGAGAGGTTTGAACAATATCACACAGGTAGCTCAAGGCAGAGGGGGTATTAGAAGTCACATAAGCCGATGCCCATACTCTCAAGCTTTTTCTACACCATAATGGCTTAAACGAAATTGCAGATGCCCCCCAAACTGTCAAAGTATGAGGCTTTAATTTACTTTCCAACACATCCTAATGTTCCAAACCAGGCCATGGGGGAGGAACACGAAGGGAATCATGCTCTCCCCATTGTCCTTCGACTGTTCCAGTTCTGTGAATAAATACACACAGGAAGACAACTCTGGGCTCTCATGTGCAGAAGCTAACTCACACTCCACTCATGCATGCTCAACACCACTGCAAAAGAAGCCCATCACTATTTCCAGAGCAGGCCAGAGCTCCCATGCAGCATAAACATACCTGCCATTTAGGTCTGCAGCCCTTTTCTGTATCTAGTTGACATGTTGTGATAATCTAAAAGGGGCACCTTCACCTCGCCAGTGCACGAGGTTGTTATAGGACAAGCGAAACAAAGAGGCAACCTTGCTTCTCCGGAGGCCCAGTCTCCCCATCAAACTGACTTAAACAATGAGCAAAACAGTATTGAGTAAGCCACTCATCTGTGTTTTAGTCATTTGCTAAAAAGAGCACCAACCACTGAAAATAATATTTGGTCCTTATTCTTAAGAAATACACATACAAGTACTTAGGTGTAAAAGGACATAGTGCTTATGACTTACCTTCAAATCGTTCAGAGAAAACATTAAGTCTACATACATACACGTGGGGCAGGAAGTAGGAGGAAGGGAACTGATCAAGCAAATGGGGTCCCAGGTTAATAGGAAAATCTGCATACAGGGCATACGGGTGTTCTTTGTATTGATTTTATTTTTGCAACTTTCGAGATGGAGTCTCACTCTGTCGCTGAGGCTGCAGTGCAGTGGCGTGACCTTGGCTCACTGCAACCTGTCTCTTGGGTTCAAGCGATTCTCCTGCCTCAGCCTCCTGAGTAGCTGAGATTACAGGTGCCCACCACCATGCCCGGGTAATTTTTATATTTTGAGTAGAGATGGGGGTTTCACCAAGTTGGTCCAGCTGGTTTTGAACCCCTGACCTCAAATGATCCGCCCACTTTGGCCTCCCAAAGTGCTGGAACTACAGGCCTGAGCCACTGCGCCCAGCCTCTTTCTGCAACTTTTATGAATTCTAATTTCTGAAGGAAATGTGAAAAATATATAAACCTTAAAAACTAAAACAAAACAAATATATTTGCTGACAGAGATTAGGTTGATAAAGGAGAAGAAAAGGAGGAGTATTTAGGGAGGATAGAGGTTTCCAGGGCTGGAGGGTTGGGGTAGACAGTGTCAACACAGAAAAGTGATGAAAATAAAGAGAAGGGGACAGCCAGCCATATATGTTTACTATATTCTTCCTTCTCTCTGGGTATTCTCAATCAGGGCTTGCCACTGGGGAATGGCAAGTTACAAACTATCTTTACACATTTAACCTGGCTTGCAGCAGCCTCCACTCATCTTTCAAAGGTAACCTAGGTGGGGAGTGGAATCATGTGCCTTGTGACATCAACTGCGCTTGGAATGTTTATCGTCCGGACAACCCAGCCAGTCTCTCTAGAGCAGGTGTGTGATCTCTGTGCCCTGCAGTGGTCAGAATATGGAGAACTTCTCACTCCTCAGCATCTCTGGACCTCAAATCTCTTCCTCCACCCTGAGTGCCTTTCCCGATATTATGTCCTCTCGTGCCACCAGCCTGTCAGGTAAACTCTGGTGCCACCAGGGCCACAAAGATGTGGGGTTTTTTGAAGCTTATAATTGAGTACTCTACCAGATCATGTTATAGGACCAAGATTTAGTGAGAAAGTCAAATTACACATGGGGAGAAAGTAACTTTTCAAAATGCTGCATTTGTGGTAAGTAGTTCCTGCTGTATATTGATTCTTAGTAAGGGAAGAAAGGGGGAAACGTTTTTGTTTTTGTTTTTGTTTTTGAGATGGAGTTTCGCTCCTGTTACCCAGGCTGGAGTGAAATGATGCAGTCTCAGCTCACTGCAACCTCTGCCTCCTGGGTTCAAGCAATTCTCCTGCCTCAGCCTCTATTTATCATCAAGTTTTTCCTCCTAGAGTGCATGAAATCTCAAGGTGGCAGTATGTCTACATAGAGGAGAAGAAACTAGTTTTAGCTCTGTTTTGACAATCTTGGAGAGGATTTGGAGTAGCAAACCATGAGAGAAGCCTAAGCGGCAGGGTAAACTGATGAGAACATCATGGAATAAAGGTGGACACCCTGAGGACTCCCTGTTCAAAATACAGTCCTCAGACCTGCCAATGTCTGTATCATCTGGGAGCTTGTTAGAAATGCAGGATCAACCTGCTGAATCAGTACCCGTGTTATTAACAAGATCCCCAGGGGATCCCTATGCACAGTCAAATGGAGACATACCGCTTGGTGGAGGTGGCCTCCTAAGCATCCATCTGTCTATATACATGACATCTATAAATTTATCCCCCAAACTGAACACAGCTGCTTTTCTGGGATTTGAGGCAGGTCAGCTTTTTGTCCAAGTGCTAGCAGCTACTCCAAGGTGTGCCATGCAGTGATGGCCCACGGGAACCCTGACTGTGGATATGAGATGTTTCAACTGGACAATCCTCAAAGGGGGCATGCAACATTGCTCTGCAGCTGGTGACTCTGGGTCCCAGGATGCCCAGGAGACTGGCAATGCAGAGTGAAGTCATTCCATGTGATGAGATGCAGGAGGGTCAGGTGAGGGGCAGGCCAAGCAGAGAGGTGTCATCTGGGCCATCATAAATCCCACTTTCCAGAAAATCTTTCTGAGGCCTGAATGAAACGGCCCCATTCAGAATTCCTCAGGATGTCATCCAGAATAGCTCTGGCTGCTTGAGTTTGAGAGGTCACTGTTCTGTTTCAGCTTTGAGATAACTTAAAGTACAGAGGATGAGCCTCTAGGTGTACCTGGTTGGGGGTAAGTCCCAAGAAGTGGAATCTCAACCTTGCTCAGCTCACCAGTGTTTCTTCTGTAACGCAGACATTACAAAGACAACGGTGCCCACGGAGGCATCCAGCCCAGCGCAGGCCCTGCCACCCCAGTACCAAAGCATCACGGTCCAGCAAGGGGTGCAAAATACAGTGCTCTCACCAGGTGAGGCCTTCTCTGACCTGGGTGGGAATGTGTGAGAAGCTAAGGATGAACAGGGGCTGATTCCCTAAGGGAGACGAGGTGTCTGGAAGCTGGACCCCCATGTGCAGCCTTGTCACCTGCAACCTCCTCTCTGGCCCTTCTTCCTTTGGTAGACACCCGCAGGCCTGGGACTCTCGCCTTGCCTCCCCTCTCCTGTCTCTGAAGCTGGTGTGCAAGAGCAGCTTCTGGCTGAGAGGGCCGTGGAGGGATCAGGATGGACAGTGAGGCTGAAAAAAGGGTGGCGAAAAGAGGAACTGTGGGAGGCGGATGGTCTGTCTGTCTGCTGGGTCACCTGTGTCTATCCTTAGAGGACTCAGTGGACACGGTGTCTCCAGGAAAGAAAGGACTTGACAAATACCAAGGCTTACTAACTAAAAGCGGCCTCTCTCACCCCACAATCTGCCAGCCATTTGTACCTGTAGAAAAAGAATGCAGCGAGAAGGAATGTTCCCGGCTGCTCTCCCCACTGTCTTGTGTCTGTTCTGACCTGCAATCATGGTGGGGTGGAAGTAACTGAGGTCATACTGATGTCTGCTCTCTTGACTTTCTGCTGGCATCCTTGGCTCCCCTGCCTCCTGTCTGCTTTCAGACCTGGTCCTTTCCTTTGCAGGCTACAGCTTCGGGAACATCCAGCACGGGGAGCAGCTGAGGCGAAACTGTACCATCTACAGGCCCTGGTTCTCCCCCTACAGCTACTTCGTGTCTGCAGACAGAGAGTGCCACCTGGAGGCCTACAACTTCCCAGAGGAGCAGCAGGATGAGGGCAAGTGGGACAATGGCCTTTCTGAGGACATGGCTGAGAGCATCTGTTCGTCCTCTTCCTCCACAGAGAACACTTGCCCCCGAGAAGTCACCAAGAAATTCAGACATGGCCTGGACTCCATCACATCCCAGGACATCCTAATGGCTTCCAGGTGGTACTCAGCACCGCAGAATGGCTACAAGTGCGTGGCCTGCTGCCGCATGTACCCCACCCTGGACTTCCTCAAGAGTCACATCAAGGGGGGCTTCAGGGAAGGCTTCAGCTGCAAGGTGTATTACCGTAAGCTCAAAGCCCTCTGGAGCAAGGAGCAGAAGGCTCTACTGGGAGATAGGCTCTCCTTAGGCAGCTGCCAGGCCTTCAAGTAGTCCTGTTGAACACCTTAGGCAAATTGGCAGTGAAGCCAACTTATGTCTATAGAGAGATGCCAATAAAGTTAGTCACAGCCTTCTGTCCAGTCTGAGGTCACATCACACTGCCTGCTGTCCTTCCCAGAACCCCCAGCTCCCATCTCCTTTGGTTAATGGTTGCCTAGTAACACTAGGCACACTCCCTCCCCTTCTCTTTCTCTCTTTTAAAAAGAAAGACAATACCTAAAGTTTGGGAATATTCTCTAAGGCAGAGGTTCTCAAAGTGAGGTGCCCAGCCAGCAGTACCAGCATCCCCTGGGAACTCTCTGGCCCTTCACAGACCGACAGAATCAGAAACTGTGGGGCTAGGGCTGGCAGTCTGTGTTCTAACCAGCCCTCTGGGTGACTCTGATGCAGCTCAGCTGTGAGAACCACTGCTCTAGGATCCTGGCCTCTGCTTGGTTCCTATGTGGTTAGTCCTTTTCCACCCTGGGGAGAAGGGGTTGGATGCTCTTTCCTGTTTGCATGGAGAAGAATCTCTGCCATTTTAAAGGCTTCTTTGATGGTAGATCTTCTGAGCAGTGGGATATGGAAGACAATATGCCTCAGAATATAAGGCAGGTAAAAAGCAGATGGGGTTGAGCTCACCCGGGGCTGAGCTCATACATGCCACCATCATTCACTTAGAACAGGCATCTTGTGCTGAAGCAGAATAGAATCACTTTTGACCTAGAAGACATCTTTTCATGGCTGCTTTGAGTCAGGTCAAAATGGGCAGGTAAACATGGGAACCTATTGCTTCCTGTTACCAAGTAATGTGCCCAGCGGGCAGTCCTTACTCTTCCTCTATTTCTGAGTGAACTTCCTGGCCCATCTGACCCAGAAAGATAAGTAAGCATCAGGGATGCATCAAGGACACCTATCTTGACTGTAACGTGGTTTTTTTAAAAGCACCAAATGCTTCCTGGTGGTCCTTTCAAGCCTCATTTACCTCTTTCTTCACCTCGCTGATGATTCAGTGGCCCCTCCACTGCAGTGGGCACTGCCTTGCAGGGACCCTGGCACAAACCCCCTCCCAGCCTTTGCCTCCTCAGCCTGTTGTCTTCCCTCACCTCACAATGGCTTTTCCTCCTGAGTCTTACTCTATGGCTTAGCAGAGCTGCTGTGGTTATCAATATGCTGCTAAAAATCTCATTCCCGGTTCTCTGGTTCCCTACAGCATGGGAGGGAGGCTGGGCTCGATCCCCATCGCATCATATGCTGTGAGACCACTCCAACCCTGTGCCCTCGAGCCATGCTTCTCTCCCCATTCTGTCCCCAACCCTACCCAGCCTGCATCCCAGAGTCCACTTGACTGCTGGACTTCAGCTGGGCTGGGAGCCAGGAGGTCAAAACCTGTCCAGTGCAGGGTGTGGGGGTCTCTAGGCAGCCCTGACATCATTCCCAGAACCCTGTGCCCTGAAGGGCAAATGAGAGGCTCTGGGCAATCTTCTTAGTCCTCACTCTGAGCTACTGTTGTCTCCTGTCCTTCGTCAACCCCACGCTCCCTCCTCTATGGCATCTGTACAACATGCACAGGACACGTCACAAGAGGAAAAACAAGCAGGCCAGGGACTGAGCCCAGGTGCCACGGCACATGCCCATCCTGCCTGGCAGGTGCATGTGGTTAGTGTCTTCTCCCTAAAGACAAGGCATTTTCCACATTCCACATTTAATGTAGTATCAATGTAACCCCAGGAATTTTCTCAGTAGGGAGCTAAGTTTTAGCAGAGCAGAAAAAAGCACCCAGCACTGAACAGAGCATGAGCAGCACAGGTGCAGGTAGGAGGAAGCTCCCTGAGAGGTAAATTGTGCTGTATCCCGGGTCACTGCCAGGCACTCTCTACCCGGTCCTTTTAAATGCAATCGCATTTACTCTCCACAGTAGCTTTGTGTGGTTTATACTATCCCCATTTTGCAGATGGGATATAAAGCTCAGCTCAGTTTACTCAGGCAGAAAAGAACAAAGGGCACGTAAACCCAGTTGATCTAATCTTTCCAAGTTTCTCTCTAGCCTGGGCCTGACAAAGAATCAGCCCTAATACATCCTCTGCCTGCAAAATGGCTAAAAGTTCCAGCCAAAGTGGCCTGGCTTCTGTAAAGTCTGTTCTGTGCGATCCCAAGCTCCTCACTCCTCAAACAACCCCTCGTTTACCAGCCTCCTCTGCCCTTTCCTTTCTACTCCTTGCAGAGAAGCCTACATTCTCATGAGTCAGGACTTTTCTGCTGAGCTGTGTCTCAGTGATACATAATCCTCCCAGGTAGGTATGGGGAGGAGCCTGTTCTGTCCCCAATATGAACATTTCTGGAATGGACCTATTCAAACTTCTCCCAACTACATATTTCAGACATTTAGTCATGAAGTCAGTGAAATAGTATAATCTTTTTTTCTATCTCTCTTGAGACAGGGTCTCGCTCTATTGCCCAGGCTGGAGTGCAGTGGTGTGATCTTGGCTCACTGCAACCTCTGCCTCCCAGGCTGAAGCCATCCTCCCAGCTCAGCCTACCAAGTAGCCTGGACCACAGCCGCTCATCACCACACCCAGCTAATTTTCACGTTTTTTTGTAGATGGTGTTTCCCCGTGTTCCCCAGGCTGGTTTAAACTCCTGAGCTCGAGCAATCCACCTACCTTGGCCTACCAAAGTGCTGGGATTACAGGCATGAGCTGTATAATCTTGATCATACAATTATACATTATATTGGCAAATATCTGATGTAGTAATTTTTCAATCACTCAAAACTTGATGCTGGCCAGGCGTGGTGGCTCACGCCTATAATCCCAGCACTTTGGGAAGCCAAGGAGGGAAAATCACTTGAACCCAAGAGTCTGAGACCAGCCTGGTTAACACGGTGAAACCTGCATCTACAAAAAATACAAAATTTAGCTGGGTGTGGTGGCACACAACTGTAGTCTGAGCTACTTGGGAGGCTGAGGCGGGAGAATCACGGAGCCCAGGGAGGTCAAGGCTGCAGTGAGCCATGATCATGCACTCCAGGCTGGGTGACAGAGTGGGACCCTGCCTTAAAAAAACCCAAAACCAAAAAACGAACTGGCCGCTACTACCTGCATATTCTAGTATTTGGAGTTTGAAAAAAAACTGGGATCAGCAGAGTCAGCAAACACGGGTTTAGACAAGAGTTTCCCAATCTCATTTGGGGCTGGATGAGTCTTTGTTGTGGTGAGCTGTCCTGTGCATTGTAGGATATTGATCAGCATCCCTGGCTTCACTCACTACATGCCAGTAGCTTTGTGACAACCAAGAACATCTCTAGACATTGTCAGATGTCCCCTGGTAAGGCAAAATCATTCCTAGTTAAGAACCACTGATAACATCTGATCCTGCAGGTCTCATCTATAGAAAGTGTAAATGAAGCCACCATCTTCCTTTCCTCCTTCAGGGAACCTGTGAATCCTTCCTCAGTCCCACACCCTTGGGAACCATGTCACAGAGCTGATGCCACTTGGCTTGGGAAGTGGGGTAGAAGTGAGGAAGAGAAAAGGAGCAGGTGGAATAGAAGCAGCAAGAAAAGACAATGGAAAAGCTTCTAGAAATAAGAAAGGTTTATTTAGCAAAAGCCACTAGACTAGTGACAACATCCAGGGAGTAAGTGCACTTACATTAACAGAATCTTTTCCCAGAGAGTTGATCCAACAGAGTTAATGACACAACAGTTTTAGGGAGTAGTTTAGCAGGTAGAGGTTAGGAGGAAGCAGTCAAGCAGAGTAAATAAAAGGAATACAATTTCTAAACAAGATCAGTTGAGAGAAACAAGGCTAGGAAGAGGTTTTACAGAGAGAGCATTGATATAAGCAGGAATATAGGGAATATAATTTTTAATCTCAATATTCAGTCCATCCAGTGTGGAGAAATTCTTTCCTGGCTCCATAACTGTGGAAGCCTCCTGTGCACGAGAGTCTGCTGGCACCTGGGGCAGGCTGGGACAGGCACCAATAAGGTCAGCACCCCTGGTGTCCATTTGTCCTCCATATAGGGCAGAGTAGAAGAATGAAAAAGAGGAAGGCAGAGTCGAGTTAGCAGAGCAAGAAGCAAGGAGGGAGGAGGACAGGGTGACATCATTGAAAAATCAGGTCTGCCACATTCCCTTTCCTGCCCAGTTGGCCCTGACGGAGGGTCGGTGGCTGGTGATCCTTCAAGGCTCCTAGTTCTGTCTTTTGTCTCCCATCTCCACACACTAAGAGTGTACTGATTTAGGTGACATTAGGGAGGATGCCAATACACAAACTAGTCCTCCAGGGAGGGCCTGAACTGGGGAAAGGATGGGGCCCAGGCAGGAAGAAACCACCACGGAATACCCCAAGGGCAAGAGTCTTGAATGGGTCCCAAAGTCAGCAACACAGATAACTAGTTCTCCAATTCTTTAATCTCTCCATTTCCTTTCTTCTATCCCATCTCAAGCTTTTATAGGCCATTTAGAAACTACCTTCCTCACCCACTCCCTGGCCACATCCCAAGCAAGCCTTCTCCATCCACATTCCACACACCTAATCCACTGGCCTCTGGCTTTATCCTCAGCTCCTGCTTGCATCCAGAAAACAGACTTTTCACTCCTCTGGATGTTCAAAATCTTAATAATCTAAACGGTCTCAGACCCAAGGAACCCTGGGTCAGATTTCATAAGCTAGGTAGGCTCAGCCACACTGGATTCCTGACAGCTGCTCATTTAGTTTCGTGGATCTCACTTTTCTGGTTCTTCCTTCTCTATGTACCTGTACCTATTTCCAATGGCAAATTAGATCAAAACAAAACAAACAGAACCATGCCTCCCCAACTAAATGTACACTAGAAAACACAAATCTGTTGTTGATTCAAATACCCTGGAGATCCCCACTCTTTTCTGTCTGGTCACAATCCTACATACATGTATACGCCTTTCCTCACACATGGATATATAAACACAAGTGTGTACACACACACACACACACACACACACACCATCCTATCCTATTTCTGCTGACACCCTGATGCACCAAGGAGGGCTAACATAAAACTGCATTTATTTTCTTTAATTTGGACTTTCTGGGCTATAGGAAATCCAACTGTGGCCATTAGAAGAGGGCTGCACTTTTATTTAAATAAATTCTAGAGCAAAGCTAGGGTCGATGAACTCCATTTTGGGGCAATCGTATCCTTACTGACTGACCCTCCAATAATACTGCAGTTTGCATCTGTAGCTTGTTGTCTAGGATAAAGACTTAATTCCCTGAACATATGACTCTAGAAGGTCTCAGCAATCTCTTCAGGCATTTGAAAATCTGTTAACAGCCACTTCTGGCCTTACAGGAGCAAAGGAGCTTTTCCTCATTGCCCCAGCCAGCCTGTTAAGGAGTGGTAATCCCTAGGCAACGGCTAGATCATAAAAGATAAGATGATTGCACATGGCACTTTTGACAGGTGTGCTCAAGGCACGCACCCAGAGAGATGGGCCAAGGGTGACAAGGCTGTGGTCCCTGACCCAAGTGGCAGTGATTCTGAAGAGTGGACAAACACAGTCTCATAGTCTCAATTAACAGCCTGTATTCACTTTTTTTTTTCTTTTTTTGCGGTAAAAACTAACCACCACTGCCCAGTGGAGGGGACAGGTTGAGAGGTAAGGCTAGGGGCTCTGGTCCTTTGGGGCTTTCAGAGAGGTAAAGTGCTGCAAAAGCTTCCGCTGGACAGGACACAGGGGAGGTGAGGGGCGCTTCCCAGCCTCCATTTAGATGGGCTGGGCTACAGGCAGGAGGTGGGCAGGGCCACGTTTTCAAAACAAGAATCAGATCTAAGAAGTGACTGGGAGCAGCAAACAAGCTGTTCTCTCCCTGGGCTCTCACCACAAGAGCCTGAACCATGTTAAAGCTTCAAGGCTCCCTTTGAAGCAACATTCATTGTCCGGCTGGAGAAATGTTTGGATTCAGTTCCTCTAAAAGCGTATCCACTGTGACACATTCCAAATCCATGCTCACACTACAAGGACTAGCCTGGCTTTTGCAGCCCAGAGCACTCAATCTCTACAACCTCAGCAAGGGCATGGAGAAGGAATTCCTCTCAGAAAGGTCGGGGAAGGGTTAGGCAACTCACAGCATCCTGATATCCAGAAACAAAGTACCTGAGAAGGTACGCATGGCTTCCCTTCATGGTCCGGACCATGGATACGGGGAGAGTGAGGGGGTACAGGGACATCACGGACAAAGCGGGGGAGCCTGAGGATGTAGCAGATAGGGGCAGGTCCTCCAGCAGCCTGGTGGTCCTGGAGAGAGACCCTCTCCTGAAGCCATGCGCTCTGGAAGGCCCTGCCCCCACCACCCTCTAGTCACAAGTAGGAGAGGAGCTGATTCACCTCTGGGAATCCGATTCCCCCCCCCCCCCCCACTTTATCCTCCAAAGCAGAATCGCAAATCCTTTCCTGAAACCTGACACTCTCTTGGGCCCTGGCTGGCATTCTCCTCGGCAGCGCACATTCTCTGGGCATCCCCTACCCGGGCAGCAGCCAGACATGGCCCCTCCAGTCACGCCGCTGCCTCCATCTCCTGGCCCCTGGCACCTACACGGCGATCTCATCATCCAGGCCGTCGCCCAGCTCCTGCCTCTGCAGGACATTCAGCAGGCGCGGCAGCTCCTCCTGGGACCACGAGTCGCGCTCCTCGCTCTCGTCTGTGTTGGACTCGTACTCCGAGGCGATGCCTGACTCTCGGAACTTGATGAGCTCCAGCCCGCCTAGGAGCGCCTCGCCCTGCGCCGGGGGCGGCGTATCCTCCGGCGGGAGAAAGCGAAAGCACTCCAGCTTAACCAAGCAGTCGCGCCTACCTAAGGGGCTGCCCGCAGGGTGGGCAAAGTCAGCCAAGCCCGCGCCCAGCGGCGGTGAGTGCAGGTCCTCCGGCTTAGGGGTTGTGGGGTCACAAAGCACAGGCAGGGCTCCAGAGCGGAAGGTGATCTCCAGCAAGCTGTCCTGGGATCCCACTGCACGGGAGACAAGAGAGAAGAGGGGCCACGTTAGACAAGGTTGTTGATTTGGGATGCCTGCCTTCGGACAGCCCATGCCCCTGCAAAAGCCCTTCCCAGACCAGCTTAGCAGCTCCTCCCTGAGGACAGGGGTTGCATCTCTTAACACTTCACCCCTTCCTCCCACCCCAACATGGCTCCAGACACACCTCGCTGGAGGGGAGGAGCTTTGGGACATGGTAAAGGTGGGGACATGAGAACCACTTGATGGTTCTGTGAGCCACTGAAGGGGCTGAACAGGGTTTGTGGTAGGAAAAAGGTACCAACCGAGAGAACCATGTTAGAAGCCTATGGTAACCTTTAACACCATCACGTAAAAAACAAACAAACAAACAAAAAAACATTAATTAGGATAGAGCAGAGTCTCAATGAACAATCTGGAAAATCCAGAGAGGCTTCCAGTGTGGCGAAGGACACTGGTTTCCAATCCATACTTTCGGGCTACTTTAAAAATACAGACTCCCAGACCAGCCCCAGGCCCAACAATGCAGAGTTTCTGTAGACTGGACACAGTAATATGCATTTTTTAAAAAGCTCATGTGATAGTTTGGGGGGAACCACTGGTATAGTTGGAACACAGTTCTGCAGTCAGATCTATGTTTGAATCTTGGCTCTGCTCCTTGACCTTGCTCCTGTAACCTTAAGCTAGTTACTTAACCTCCCTGAGTCTGTTACCTCCTCTGTAAAATGGCATACCATTTTTCTGCAGCAGAACTACAGGGGTTAAATGAGCTCACACACAAAAAAATTTTATCACAGTTTCTGGCACAATAGGTGATCAATGGGTATTTGCTGGTCCACAGCCCACACACACTGTGAGCATGCATACAACCCATAGATAAACTCAAGAGGAAGGTGTGAAAATGTGTTGCAATCTACAGCAGTCTGGTCCAGCCCGGGGGTGCTGCGGGTACAAACAGCCTCTCAAACAGGGGCCAAGCAGAGCTGTGCAGCCAGTGACTCCACTGCCTTATCCACTGAACAGATATACTGCTCCCAGCTTTTTCTGTGTGAGAGTCTAAAAATACATAGCGCAGAGTAGTAAACTAATAAACAATTTGCGGCCTCCCACAGAGCTCACAGAGAACATGATACCTGATAGGTGCTGAGTATACTGTATTTTGCAAAAGCTCTCTGAGAAAGAAATGGGCTGCCCTAGGATGTAGAGTACCAGAGCCCCTATCAAGTAGAGACTGGACGAACACATAGCAGTGACCCCGGGTACATTCAAAGTCAAGCCTGGGCCTGGGTTAGAAGGCACCCAAGATCTCCTTTGGGCGTATGAACAGTGTCACAATGAAGCCCATATGTAAGCAAGTGTAATTCATTAAGTGTACTAACAGGGAAACAAAGCTGCCTATGTTTTCTGCTGAATATAGGGGCAGGTCAGGGGTCCAAGAAAGCACCACCAAAAACTTGAGGAAAGTAACACTCTTTCCAGAGCCTTCACTGAAGAAGTGAGACTGGGCAGGGTACTGGCTTACTGGCATTCTGTCCTGACAGCTTCAGCTCCAGCTCCTGCACCTGCTTGACCAGCAGGGAGATGTGCTGGAGCATGTCCTTGTTCTGTAGCAGGAGCTGGTGCACGCGAGCCTGGGCCTCCAGCCGTGCAGCAGCCTCAGCAGCCAACTGGTCCTTCAGCAAGTGTACCTGCAGAGAAGAGGCAGTAGCAGAGAAGACAGGACAGAGAGAAGAGAGGGACATGAATGCATATGAGAGTTGCTGGCAGACAGCCGGGACCAGAGATGCCCTCCACATCCTGTTCAAGAAGAAGCCCTTCACCAGCAGAATGGGCATCTGGGCTTATCATTCCAGAGGAGGAGGAGCTGAAAGGAGTGTGTTCACTGGCCCTGTGAAGCTGTGTGTCCCAAGGGACGGCCATGATGCATCACTAACGTACCACTCTGACTCCCACACTAAGGGCGAGAGGCAGGAAAGAGCCATTGACCCGCTATCCGCTGCCACACACACAAGTGTGCACGCACACACACATACACATGGTGCTCCATCCCTGCTTAGAGAACTCCTTCAGCACCCAGCATGGTATGCCATGTTGGAGGTGGAATGGGGCACTCTTTTCTCACCCTGTCTTGTAAAAAACAAAACCAAAACTGATACACTGACCCACTGGCTAAGAACAGTGTCACAACGAAGCCCATATAATCTGTCTTCCTCCCCCACTTGCCCAAATGTAGTGAGAAACAGGAAGCATTACACATGGCTTTTTAAATTAGAGAGGTGGCTGTCATCAAGCCACTCTGTAGGCAGCAGCTTCTTTCCCTGTCTTCCCTTTTTATTTGCCATGGCAGACACCTAGGACTATGATTCATACCACGTACTACTAGGACCACCTGGTAGGGGTTAAACATTTGCTGACTGACTCATAAGAGGGCCTCCTCCAACCAGCCCAGAAGGGCTGAGGTGAACAGTCTGTGGCACCCTCATCAATTTCCAACCTCATCATGGCAGAGCAGCTGGCAGCAGTGCATTCAGCCTGCGTGAGGCCCAGTGGTGTCAACAGCTCTGTTCTTGGTGAGCAATCCTTATGTGGAGATAAAACTCAGTGGGAGGAGATGGGGGAAACCAGAGCAGGACCTGGTTTGAAAGAAAGTGATTTAGAAGGCCAATACAAGTGTTCATACATATGTGATGAATAAAGGGTTCTCCAGGGAGGGCTTCGGAAGGGCCCTGAAGAAAGGGAACTAATGAATTTGATGGCCTGGACCAATGTAGCTTATGGCGAAAAGGGTGTTCTTGTACCAAAACCATGGTGTGGGTAAAGACAGCGCCAGGTGACTAGGGGCAGAAGAGGTGGGACAAGGTTGCAGGAAGATGGATGGGGAGTCGGAAGCATTAGCTGATTCTCTTGCTCAGAAAACAAATGCTCAAATTTCTGAAGAGGAGTTTGCTCCGAAGAGATTCACATTTTTTTTTTAGGGAGTAAAGGACAATTCTAGCCACCCTTGGCCAAGTAACCTGCTGTCCCAGGGTGTGCCCCATCCCCACACCCCAGCAACCAGCACTCAGAGAATTAAACTTGTGGGTACAGTGGCTGCCTCCGTTTTGCCCAGATCGGAGGTCCTGACCTTGCCGTTGACCCTGTTTCTAATTGAATGGAACCACAGGGGGACAAATGCCTAAGGAATTTAAAGTAAATCTGTCCTTCATAAAGCTGCTAAGGACAGAACTGATATTTTGGTCAAGAAGTCAGCCTCATTTTTTATCTCATATTAACTGAGAAAAAAATGGGGTGGGGGGAGGTTCAGAAAGGTGTGATCCAGTGAAATACGTGTTTGGTCCTCATCCCCATTTCCTGGAATACAGCTCCCAAACCCTTGAGATCTCCAGTTGTAAGAGTGTTCTTTTGTGTGCTTATTAGATGATTAGTGGCTGGGGAACCCCTGGAAGCCTCAGGATTTAGGGGGTGATCACAGGAAAGACCAAGGTATGATTAGAGGGTTGCAAGTTTTCAGTCCCAGGCCCCAACCTCCAGGAGGGAAGAGGGGCTAACAGTTAAACTGATCACCAGTAGCCAGTGATGTAACCAATCATGCCTACATAATGAAGCTTCCATTAAAAACTCAGAAGGACTGAGTCTGGGGAGCTGCCAGGCAGCTGAACATCTGGAGGTTCCTGGAGGGTGGGGCACCTGGGAAGGGCATGGAAGCTCCGCACCCCTTTCCAGATACCCTGCCCTAGGCACCTCTTCCATTTGATGTTCACTGGTATCCCTTATAATATCCTTTAAAATAAACCAGTAAATGCAGGTGCTTCCCTGAGTTCTATGAGTCGCTCTAGCAAATTAGTTGAATCCAAGGAGAAGGTAGTAGGAACACCAATTTATAGCCAACTGGTCAGAGGTGTAGGTGACAAACTATGATTTGTGATTGGTGTCTGAAGTGGAGGAAAGGCTTGTGGGACTGAGCCCTCAAATTGTGGGATCTGATGCTGTCTCCAGGTAGATAGCACCACAATCAAGCTAAGTTAGAGGATGCTGGGTGTCATCTGCAGAACTGCTTGCCTACTTGTTTGGTGTGTGGGAAAAAGCCCCATACATTTGGGTCATAGAAGTATGCTGTGACAGCCTAGCAGGAAGAAACTGCCTTTGTTTCCTCCTATACCCACTCAGCAGAGAAAGAAATGTCAATAATATTTTAATTTGGACAGATGGTGGGTGGCTATTAAGGTTTTCTCCTCCTTGGAAACAGGGGCATGGAGAAATTTCATCTGGGGGTCCCCCAAATCTATGTGGTTCTGAGGAACAGGACAAACTGCTGTGGGATGCCCACAGATAAGCCTGAGAGAAGGGTTAGCTTAATCTTGTGCGATCCCAACCGTTACTTATCCCAACAAAGAGTGTCGTCGAGAGGAACCTACTGAGCAAATAAAATTGCTAAATTATTCATCTTCCATTTTCTTTGGAACCAAACCAACCAGAGAGAAATGTGGAACAATGTCTTTCGGTGGATATAAACAAAGAAAGCAGAGAATCCTAAACACCGCTAACTGGCACTTATAGAGGGCTCCCTGCACACATGCTTCAGAGTCAGTTTCTTTTCTTTTTTTTTTTTTGAGACTCACTGTGTCATCCAGGTTGGAGTGCAGTGGCATGATCTTGGCTCACTGCAACCTCAGTCTCCTGGATTCATGCGATTTGCCTGCCTCATTCTCCCAAATAGCTGGAATTATGGGCACCTGCCACCACACCTGGCTAATTTTTGTATTTTTAGTAGAGAGAGGATTTCCCCCTGTTGGCTGGGCTGGTCTCGAACTCCTGACCTCAAGTGATCCACTGCCTTGGCCTCCCAAGGTGCTAGGATTACAGGTATGAGTCACCATGCCCAGCCGAGTCAGTTCCCTGCATCCCACTCTGAACATCCCAGCAGGACAGGCCATTTGAATACACCAGACCAGGAGCTGGAGTGCTTGTCTGTTGGCTACTCCCTAGCAATTGTAGACAACTCACTTCTCTCTGGACCTGAGTTTCTCCATCTGTCAACCAAGAGAACTGGCTTGAGGCTCAGGTAGTTTGATAATTACACATCCAGGATGACATCATGACCAGTACTAGAGGTGACTTGTTAATGGCTCATTGAAAAAATCCTCAGTTCCCCATTGTGAAGTCAGAGAATTCGGATTGAGGGTAAAGGAAGAGTTCCCTCTTACAGAAGCAAGGAAAAAACAAAGTTGAAAGCTTGTTTTGTAGGTACCCAAGTTCCAATGGTGGAGTACCAACAATACCTAAAAGAAGACCCTTGAATCAAATGCCTCCCATCGCAAATCCACGGGCACTAAGTGCCATGAGAAAATGCTGCTTGTACCAGATTAAATAAGAGTTTTACCTCTGTAAACCCAGTTATACCACTTCAGGTATTTTCAAGCCCTGTGAATGTGAGCACTTGCTGCTGCCACTGCCTGAGCCAGCACTAATGAGCCCTCTGCTTCTGCAGCTGTCAAAAGTGGTATTGGACATAAAGCTCAAACCTCATGCTGTGGCAGGCTGTGCTGCAGGAGAGCCCAAACCAGGCCACACTGAAACAAAATGGCCTGGACTTCTTTTAACTTTGAGGTGCAGCATTTTATAACTATGTGGTCTCGAACTTGAAGCCCTGAAATGAGGCAGCGTTATTTGCAGCCTTGGTTTGGGCAGTCTGCTACAGTCCTCTGTGCTTTGTTTCCCCATTCAAACAACAGGAGCAGAGAGCACCACCTCCTCCCCACCAGATAGGATATTTATTTGTATTTAGCACGCTTTTCTTTAAAAGAATTAAACCCCTTTCATAAAAGTAGACCATATTTTTTTGTGGAAAGATAGAAATCATCACCCACTTTCCAGAACTGTGTTGTCTTTGGCAAAGAATGCCCTGCACTATGGCCTCAGCATGACATGTACCTTCAGCCCTGCACCCTCCAGCTCTACACTGCTTCCCAAAACTCTGAAACCCACCCTCAACCCACCCAGCCATGCAAGATCATTGGCCCCCTCACTCTCCAGCTTACTTGCCTGGACTCCAGCTCCTCCATCAGAAGTGAGGGCAGGGCCAGGCTGAAGTTAGGGAGTAGCAGGCACATGGAAATGGCAGTGGAGAGAACCAGAGCAATTTGCCCCCCCACACACTGGACACAGAAGCAGAGGCAGGCACCGCTGTCTCACATGCACAAGGCAGGGACTTGGGCAGTGCACATGAGGGTGCTGGGGACTGGGAGAAGCCAGGAGGACAGATGCTAAATAGAGGGCCTGGGGTGGGATGCAGAATTTCGTTAGCGCTGTTCCTCTAACTATAGCATACATGACTGCGAAGCATAAATAACTAATTCCTTGTTCCTGAACAAGCAGAAGTGGCAGCAGGTATAGGAGAAAGCTTTAAACAGCAATACTGAACTGTACTAACACTTTCCTCATGAGCAAGGCCGGGCATTGGCAAACTGTGAACAGACCTGGCCTACTTAACTCTTGCCAATCAGCCACAGTGCCCAGATCAGTTCTGAGACTATGTTGGCCCAGCCCACGGCCATGCAGGTGCCAGCTACATCCCAGCTTCTATTTAAGGCTTAGCTATACTCTTTCACACCCTTCAACTTCTGGTCCACCTAAAAGCAGGAAGCTAGTGCAGCCAGGCAAGCCTCATGCTGGGTTGGGAGAGTGGTCAGAGGGACTTGGGTATTCACTATTTACACACTGAGGGCTAACCTGGAAATACTTAAGAGTTGGTTGAATACCATCTTTGCCCATATACCTTTAAGGCCAGGGTGAGGCCCTTTGAGACCAGCTCAGAACCAATTTAGGGTGAGGCTGGGAGAGGTCTTGAGGTCTTAGACCAAATCAAGACATTGTGAAGGAGGCCTAAGCCTGGTCCCCATGGCAACAGCATAACTAGACTAGCCTGTGGGAAGAAACTGGGGGGAGGGGAGACATAAATAGTGCAACAAGTGACCTCAAGGGCACACTTGTCTGCAAGAAACTGTCTTTATCCTTTGATTTTTATCCAGGAACAACACAGGAGGATTTGGATGCTCTCTGAGAAAAGGAAACTATTCCTACCTGAAAGGCTGAGGTCAGTTTTACTCATTGGAATTCTGGGGACTGCTGGTAGTTTAATAAAGAAAGACAGAAGCTTTGCAGTTTGGTGGCAATAGAGTCTGACAGAACAAGTAAGAGCTAACCTCATGCTGGAAACTGAAATCAGCCCCATCTATGCAGAGAAACCAAGTTTGCTATATTTGGTCTATTTCAAATGTGTGAAAGATGCCAAGGAGACCCACTTATCAATCCAGCTACATCTTACATAATTGCTTTTACTTAAGGATATAGACACAAATAAAAAGCCCTTGGATTAAGCACTACAAAGAAAGTGGAAGAAAGAGCAGTGTGCAGAGAAGCCTCTAACTGAAGGTCAATTTAGGACTGAATCCATCTGCAGGACAGGGGAGCTGAAAGCCAGCTGAGAGGTACAATATCCCTGCTGTGCTCCTGGACGGCAAAACCAAGATGTGAACAGAAAGAAGGTGATCAGAGACGGATGGGGATGGCAAACAGAGGTACAGGAGTATGTTCAAGAACCTACCAGATGGCCTCAAGGTCATGTCCTATCTGGTGATTTTGGAAGTCTATGACTCTCCCTAAAGTCATCTCACCAATGTGGGACTCAGATGCACCATGGTGGCCTTTTGATCACCACACTGCTTGTATTGAGAGTCAAGCAGGGCAACTATATTCAACAGATTCCAAGTGAGTGAGAGGCTAAGGGTGCCCAGCCTGTGGACATGTCTAGAACTGAGAGAGGCTCATGAAGCAAATCCTGAATACCACACTCTTTTCTTCCCCAAGATTAAAACAGGGTCAGGGAGGGATGTTCCATGGAGACTAATACTTGATTCTATACCAGAAAACCACTCTTAGGTTTCATCCTGACTGTGCTAGACCTGTGATAAGTTATAGGCCTTGTTGCTTTGCAGATTGAATGCTTCCTTCCACTGCCACGATACTCTTGTTGTGTGGATTACACATTTGCAAATAGCTTCTCTCTAGAACTTAGCAGTGACTTCAATTCAAATGCCTCCCTGATAAAATCATACCATGAATATGCATCAAGCCCATTCTTTGATAAATAGTAATTACTTGCCAATTGATACGCTGCAAGATAAAAGTATTATGATCTGTATTCAATGGGAAACTTGTGGAAATGAAATGAGTCTGGGAAGGGACCCGTGCTGGAGTGCTTAGTCTTTGTGCTCCTGTCAGCCATTCTACTAGGGAGGGGATTCTCAGATGACCGTGCCATCATTAACTATAGGAGATGGATTCTTTTATTTGACAAAGAGAAATCTTTTTTTTTCTCCAAATATGAGAAGTCATTAATGACATTCCCTCCTCTCTGTTGCTGTTTTGGGAACACCTGCAAATCCTTCTAGCATCACAAGACATATTTTTTTTCATGGTAAGACTTTTTAAAAAGACTCCAATAACTTGACAGCTGTGTCCATGGATTCTACTCTTCTGAAATCTGGCTCCAAAAGTCATCAATGAGGCTTGCGTCTCAGGCCCAGGTCAATGGAGACCATGTTACAAGAAGGTCTTTTTCAAACCCCGAGCTGTAGCAGATTTGAGGAGGCCAGCGGATGCCTCCTCAAAGTGAAAAGGTGGAAAGGACAGCTCTGTTTAGATTATTCACTCCACTCAAGAGCCAGGAGAAGAGTAAGCAGAAGATAGAACAGAGAGCATAAGTGCTCCCTGGAGAAGTCTGCTCCCCGCCATTCTAGAATGCAGAAAACCTAAGTGGTCAACGGTCTGATCAAGCAAATTTGGAATACTGATGCAGAGCTGCCTTTCCAGGTCCTTCACCTATTCACCTATTCTCCAAGCCCCAACTGCCCCCTCTCCTAAGATCTTCATGCACTTATCAGACCCTGACCCTGTCTCTTGCCTCAGGATTCAGGCTTTGGTATGAATGAATGTTTTCACCATTCCCTGCCTGCTCATGGTAGAAAGGAAGCTCAGACTCATAAGTGCAAAGAAAGATGTGGACTACAGAACCCTCTACAGAAAGCAAACAGGAGGAATCCCTGCTGAAAGCAGCAAGGGAAGTCAGCTCATCCTCCTCTACAATGTAGCAGCAGCCCAACAAGTTTTTTAGGGCACAAACACCGCCTTGATTCTGAGATCTAAGCCAAGTCTTTTCCTTATGGCTCAAATAATATACCTAAATTCCTGTAAGTTAAATCCCACGATAACGAATTCCAACCAAATACTATCCGGAATAAGTAGATCAGAATGGAGGCTGGGAAGCTTGTTATAGACACGGAGACTGGGATGCCAGGGTAGTTGTCTTTTTACAATGGTGTTTGGCAGAAACTCATACTTTAAGCTGTTTTAAGAGTGGTCTCATAAACCCACAACTGTCCTGACTCTGAAGGCATCCCTTCCCATCCCAATTGTCAGGAAAACTGGGCAGGAAAGGAAGGGTGGAATTGTGCGCATCTTTTCCCTTGGTCAGTTCAAGTCATTAAACAACAATGTTCAGCCAAGCCAGCCAAGCCCAGCTCAGAGCGGGGGATACATGGGAAACCAAAATGTGCCTCTCCATTTGAACTGCATCCCCCATCTCTTCCCCTCCCGCTGCCCCCACTCCCCAACAAGCAATGATCCAATAGCATGAGCGATTCCTTATGACTCCCTAGATTTTAAACCTGCCCTGAGCCCCTTGCTAGGGAAGGTGCATCAAGCCCATGAGAGTGGAGCCTGCGAAGTAGGGAGGAGGCTGAGGAGAACCTGGGCCACAGCCACTTGCGTCTGCTGCTGCTGCTGCTGGAGGAGCTGCTGGAGGAGCTGCATCTGGTGGTGGGTGGACAGTGGTGTCCCTGTGCCCAGGCCTGGAGGCTTCGAGGAAGAAGAAGGGAGCAACATCCTGGGTGAGGCTGTCAGCATGGGCTCCTGGGGGTGTGAAACCTGCAGGGGATGGAGAAGACAGGACATGACACGTGGCAGGAGCCATCTTGAGGGCCCTCCCTCTCTTTGGCATGCACTAGGGAGGAGCAAATTGACACACTTACAACCCATAAGTTGACAGTGCTGCATCTTCAATGGAAATGGGAGTAAGGGTCCAGGAAGGAAATGGTGTAGCTGCCTGGGCTGATACACAGTCAGAAAATCATATGGGGACACCTCAGTAACTGACCCTGCATGGTGGGAGACTGAAGGCTGATACTGCTCCATGCCCACCACTTCCAGTGATGTCCTGTCATTGAGTTCCTTGAGATTCTCAACTTAGAAGAATCTATTTTAGTCAAACGTAGCTTCCATCCATCCTAGCATGACAACACCCTCATTGGGAGAATTTTGGAGTTGGGTCCTAGAGGAAGGGGCCATGTGAAGGAGCTACTTCCTGCCCTCCACTACCTCTGGTGAGAACCATCAGTAAAGAAGATGGGATACTAAAATAAATAATGATCTGGAGAAGTCCTGTTAGATGAAAGCCGTTCCTGTCTCCTTCCCTCCTTCTGTCTCCCTCTCCTGTGGGCATTTTTACCAAGATGGCTTCTACACGTCATAGAATTCAATGACAGGGAGAGACATTTTATTTCTGTCAGTTCTGTTGTGGGGCCTTCTCCAGGCATATAAAAGGAAGGTCCCCAGGGACACAGGGCTATTTCCACCTGTAGAGGACACACTGGGTCCAAAGGAAACATCAGGCAGACAGCGCAGAACTGAACTGCCCTCCAGACCTCCCTGAGAGGTAGGATATGAATGATGAAGAAAGAGAGGTGATGTAATATAGTGAACTGCCAGGGAATCTAAGGGTAGAGCTATTGGTCAGTAATTTTGCTTCTGGGTTTAAAACATTTTTAATTAGGTTTGGCTCCAGGTTGGAATTTGGTCTCAAGTTCTTAGTTTCTTAATTGGATCACATTAGGAAACCCCATAGGCCACAGTCATCTCACCTATACTGGATGTTAGGCTGGAGCTGATGATGACTAAGGTGTTCTCTCAGTTTTTAACATCCAGTGGGCCAATTTCCAGACTCCGTGGTGCTATCTACAGGAATTACCAAAGGTACACCACTGCTATTGCAGGCAGAGGGGGGCCAAACTGACTTTGCTCTATTAGCTTTAAGCCACAGAGGAGTCTGGGTGTGTGTGTATGTGTATGGCAGAGTGAGTCTTGCAAAATACTGTGCAATGATGAGATGCTGTTAAGGGAAGAGGGTGCCAGGGAGTATGAGGTCAAATACCGGTGGGATTCTGGGAGGGCGATGTGTGTCAGGAATCAACTCCATGGCATCGTGGCCTGTAGCAGGCCTAGCATCCAGACCCTCTGGAAGTCAGACCCTCCAAAAAGCAGTGAAGCATGCTCTGGCACCATCACTGTGCTGTGAAATGCCTCACTTGGAAGCTGAGCTTGCAGGGGCTAGGAAGTGACTGACAACCTGAGGACACATGTGTGCAGATCACACAGATGGGCCATCTCTTGCCTACCTTGGAGCCTGTGTGGGAGGCTTCTTCCTTCCCTACGGCATCTAGATCAGTAACACCTCGGCTGAATTCCAGGACGTCATTCCCTGGGAGTGGGACCTCCACCGCGTCAATGTCAGTCTCCTCTGCAGTGGCTGTGGAGGCCCTCTCGGCTCCTGTGAGCTGCCGGCCTGCAGGGACAACACGAGAGTGAGGAAAGAAAATGAAGACACTGAGAACAAAGTCCTCCTTTCCTAACATTTTAGCTTTCAGGCATGTTGAGCCCAGGGACGCCCGTGGCTTTGTAACATTTCACACATCTTTCCACTCAAGTACGTTAAAGTGCATTTCCAGCCCAATAAGATGTTCTCATCTTCGTATCTTTTAAAAGTGCAGAAGCAAAAGCAATACTTCCTCAAGCCTGGATGTGACAGTTTTGCCAGGTCCACAGGCATATGTTAACAGGGTGTGGGACACTGGGAGAAGGGAGTGCTGGTCATCATCTCATCATAACTCAGGAACGGAAGCAGCCAAGGGAAAGAGCCCTGGCTTGGGGGACCAGAGATGAGGCAGTTGGGCCTCTAATGAACTGCTGGACAAGAAGCAAAACACCTCTCTTTCTCTGGGCCCTGTTTCTTCAACTACAGAATTAGATGCTCAGTTAGATGGATAGGTAGGGTTCCATAACTGAAGAATAAGGCAAGGAGATAAGAAGCCATATTTTAACACAGTATCCATCTCTCAGCCCTCAGAGCCTGCTCCTCTCACCAAGAGCAGAAGCCAGGAAGAGGCCTGTAGGAGGTGGCACGGGGAGCAGGGGAGGGATGGGGTGGCTGCTTTTCCATGCTTCCTTATCTAATTTTTCTACTTCCCACATTTCTTCCTTTCCATTGAAGACAACGGCCATGTCTTTATTTAACCACACGCACAGCATACTGCTTAATACCAATGTAAGAAAGGCCTGCTGTTTCTTACTTATCTTCCTTCCCTGATCCCATTTCTTGGATTCTATAAAAATATCTGACAACTCCTGGGCATTTCGTAGGAAATACTTTCATTTTCTATTTTTGCAATTAGGTTAATTACTGCCGTCTTCAAATAAGATTTCTCATGAGTTTTCAGAGACCATGTACCAATTATTAAATGGACCAGGTGGAGGTACAGCAGGAGACACAGAGCTGATGCCCGGCGCTGAAGCCAGCCCAGGCACCCAGGCCTCAAGTCATTTGAGTGCTTACTTTGTAGAACAAATTGTTCTAGGAAGTTTTCTTAAGGGAAACAAGCCTGGCATTTAGAAAGTAAACAGTGGGCTTGGTTTTCTTCCTGGCTACTCCAGAAGCTGAGGAGACAGTCCTGTGGAGGGCTGCAAAGGTGTTTAACAGAAAAAATGGTTCTGACTGTGGCCAGTGGGGACATGGAGGGGGAAGCTCTTCTGCCCCTTGGTCAGCCAGTAGGCGGGAGCACAGGGAGCAGCCTGTTCTCTACCACACCCTGCACCTGGAAGGGGTTTAGCCTGAGAGAAAGAGGGTTGGTAGTTGGGAGGTGCTGGGAACTGAGTGTCTGGTTCGCCATGCCTGTACAGAAAAGAGCAGGATGAAATTTCCATCAGTGATCAGGAGGAGTTGGGCTCCTGCAGCGCTCTGTGCACTTAGCACATGATATTGGACGTGCCTGGCCATCAATCTTCCCTTATAGACTTGAGGCCAGGCTGTGTCTCATACATGTTTCCTAAAAATGTTTCTCTGGCACAGAGAAAGTGTTCCATAAATACTGACAAAGGAAGTAGTGTAGTGACAGGGTAGCAAAACAGGAGAACAGGCTGCAGGCTTATCTACTTCCCATCCCTGGAGAGACTAATAATGAGGAATAAGAAGCCCCAGACACAGAGGGTTTGGACAGGGCCTTGCCAGAAGCCCAGGTGGAATCAGAAAATCTCTCAGGTTTGGCAGGGCATGGTGGCTCATGCCTGTAATCCCAGCACTCTGGGAGGCCAAGGAGGATAGATCACAAGGTCAAGAGACAGAGACCATCTGGGCAACATGGTGGAACTCTGTCTCTGTTAAAAATAAAAAAATTAGCTGGGCGTAGAAGTGGGTGCCTGTAATCCCAGCTACTCAGGAGGCTGAGGCAGGAGAATTGCTGGAACTCAGGGAGGCAGAGGCTGCAGTGAGCTGCGATTGTGCCACTGCACTCCAGCCTTGGCGACAGAGCAAAACTCCATCTCAAAAAAGAAAATCCCTCAGCTTCTTGCTCTGTTTTAGGCGGACTTATAAAAACACAAAGCATTCAGCTATTTTGTTTGTATGAGCAGAGTTCCCAAACTAACGCTGAAGTAATTCAATGACAAACCATAGGACTGCTTTCTAAGAGACCTCCTGCCACGCAGTGGGGGTCTCGACGATCACAGGTGGAGTCCTGCTGCTTTATTACAGCAAATGGGCACAGATCAGTATACTATCCACATTGGTTAGAACTGGGAAGGGTAGAGCTGGGATAGACAGGACATGCTGGATGGAGGACTGTAATCATTGTGTGTGCTGTAGTGTATCACGTTAAAGACAGGACCTGGTGGGAGGGACCCACAGCAAATGACCTTCTTTTGGTCCTATCAAATAAATGAAGAAATCTGTGTGTTTCATGTCTCTCCTGGTATACCAGGACCTGGGGAAATAGCCCTATTGGTGGTTGGCATGGAAATGACATGGAAAACTTCTGGCATCTCCAGGAAACTTATGGGAAGAGGCACGCCAGTTTCCAAACTGTAATAAAGAGAAATAAGACCGAGATTGGGGGTAGGAGGTACTACTTTCTGAACTACCTCTTTAAACTATTTATATCTGATACATTAAATAGTAACTAGAAGCCATCAGATATATGGTTATTTCATTCACTTATTCAATAAGCATTTATTATGATAGAAATCTATGAGACACTGAGCCTAAACACAAATAAGCGTAATCTGAGTTTTCAATGCTTCTCCATCCTGATGGAGGAAACAGACATGAACCACGGCTGCAGCCTGAGGTCATAAGCATCACCTAGGAGGGGGCTATACAAGGTGCAGAACACCAGGAGAGGCACATCTCACGTAGGTCAGGGTGAAAGAAGCCTGTGCAGAGGAGCAAATGCCACCTGCAGAAGAAGTACCAGCTTAGACAGGTGGGGAAGTAGGCAGGTGCAGGCCAGGTGAGGGCCAGGGAAGGCATTCTAGGCAGAGGGCAAGGCAGGAGCAGAGGCACAGAGGCAGGAAGTCCACGGCCTGTGGTTCTGTAGAGAGGGACCCGACCAGGAAGAGTCGGCATCTTATCTTGAGGGACTGAAAACAGGTAATACCAAAACATTTCCATCCTTTACAATTTCACTCTAGATATAGCATGGAGGATAGATCCAGGAGGAATGAGAGAAAGCAATACTCTAGGTAGAAAATAGGAGGGCTTAAGCAAAGACAGTGGCAATAACATGGGGAAGAGATGGATGTAACGGATCTTCATGGGGCAGAAATCACAGGACTTGCTTGTCTATGGTGGGGGCAGGGGTGGGGATATGTGCAAGATGAGTTTTAAAATACCTGATTTAGGTGACTGAGTGGAGAATGGCATCCTATAGGAAAAATCCAGGAGGAGAAGCAGGATTGCAGGTAAGAGGATGAGTTCAGTTTTAAATCTGTTGACATCATAAGAGTCTGTGTAACAGTCAAGTAGAGATACCCATTAGGCTGTTGGGTATGCTATGGACTGAATGTTGGTGTTCATATGTGGAAGCCTTAACTCCCAATATTAGCATTAGTATTAGCATTTGGAGATGAGCTTTTGGGAGGTAATTATATCATGAGAATGCAATCCTCATGATGGGATTCATGCCTTTATAAGAAGGGATGTAGGAGATCTCTCTCTTTCTACCATGGGAGGATACAGAAAGAATCTCACTGTCTGCAAGAATCACTGTCTGAAAAAGAATCAGCTGTCTGCAAGCCAGAAGAGAGTCCTCACCAGGAACCAAATTGGCTGGTACCTTAATCTTGGACTTCTCAGCCTCCAAAACTGCCAGAAATAAATGCTGTTTAAGCCAACCAATCGACTGCATTTTATCATGGCAGGCTGAGTAGATTACTATAATGAATGCATGAATAGAAAGTTAGAAAAAAGGCCTGGCCCAAAGATAAACCTTAGTTGAAATCATGGGACATCAGAAAAAAAAATACCAGGAGCAAGTCTGGAGAAATTCCAACACTTAAGGGGTAGGTAGAAGAGGAGTCTGAAGGTCAGGCATGGTGGCTCACGTCTGTAATCCCAGTCCTTTGGAAGGCCAAGGCAGGTGGAATTACCTGAGTTCAGGAGTGCGAGACCAGCCTGGCCAACACAGTGAAACGCTGTCTCTACTAAAAATACAAAAATTAGCTAGGCATTGTGGTGCATGCCTGTAATCCCAGCTACTCAGGAGGCTGAGACAGGAGAATCACTTGAACTTGGGAAGTGGAGGTTGCAGCAAGCTGAGATTGTGCCACCACACTCCAGCTTGGGTAACAGAGTGAGATTCTGTCTCAAGGAAAAAAAAAAAAAAAAAAAGCAGAGCCTGCAAAGCATTCTGAAAAGCAGCTAGTGGAGTCAAAAGGGAAGGAGTGTGGGGCGGGGATGCCCCAGAAGCTGCCAAAGCACACTTCATTCCTGGGGATGAGCACTACAGAGACAGGTGGCCCTTAGGAAAACCTGCCTGGTAGCTTCAGGAAGGGCTGGCAGGGCAGCAGACACCAGATCACTGGGGGCTGAAAAGATATCAGCAAGAATGGGAGAAAATAAGAAAATAGACAGTGAGTGCAGACAAGCCATGCAAGAAGCCTGGCTACCAAAGAGAAAAGAGAGAGAAGGTCAGGGGTAGGCGGGAGATACAGGGACAAGGAAGGCTTAATTTTGTTTTGTTTTTAAGATAAGAAAGACTTGACCTTATTTATCTGCAGTTGGGAGAGGAAGGGAAAGGCAGCATAGCAGATAATTTGGGTGAAGATTGAGGAGCATGAGATAACCAGTTGCTCAGAGCTCCAGAGGAGGTGAGATGGAGGTGGAATGCAGAGGCAGGCAGCAGGAGAAGGCCAGTGTCCACTGAGACAGAAGCTGGGGACAAGCAGGGCTGCTGAATGGTGAAGCAGCCCTGGCTGCGTTTGGGGACCACAGATGTGTAATTGGTCTGTGGGTGG